AATGTTGTATTATAAAAAAAACACCATTGTGACAAACGTTTTTATTTCGGAAAGCCCTTTCAAATACGTTTTTTCTGTAATATATTGCTGAATACGTTTTTTCATATTGTTCCAGTAATCTGTTGATGATTTCGTAAATAAGTTATTGATGATTTCAAAGTGTGTGAATACGATAACTGTTGGAAAAGTTTCTTTCGATTGAATTGTCTAAGTTTGATGTAGTCATGCTCACGAATGGACCAGCTGGAATGACACTACGGCCGGCCAGAAAGTTTGAAACAACGCTTCCTTTTTTTTCGCGCGTTTTTCGTCGTAATGGTGCGGTTAAGAATGAGGTAATGTAGGTCCAACTATTCCTGCCCCATCCCAATCATTAACAACCCACAAAAGGGCGACAAGGCACTTATAACCGCCGCTGGCAACAAAACATACTTTTTTATTTACTTGGTCATGGAAAGTATTTTCCAATTGATGATTTAGTTTACTTACTACAGTGTATCAGATTTCATAAGCTCTTTTTTTCTTATAAATACGAAAAAAAAAATATATAAGTTTAGGTAGTTTAAGGTACTTATGCTATATAACTGAAATAATATATGTATAATATGAATAATAACTGAATAAATAATCTTACTAAAGACCCCAAAAACCATGTGAAATACCCCTTATAGGTATTAGCACATCAAAAATACGCATTAGAGACCAAAGTAGCAATAAAAAATACCATTATCCTAAAAAAGGTTTTTGCTCCGACCAGCTATTTATACGTTAATGTACTTTTTCTTCAGTACATAACGACGACAAATTGAATATAAAAAGAAGCCTTTGACAAACTGTTTTTGCTTACAGTTACAAAGGAACTTTATAAATTAGAAGTAATACATAATTAATTACATTTAAAGCGACTATTTTACAAAGTAAAAATAGACAAAACGTAGGTACATAGTTATCTAATCAATATCAGATAATAATGTTGAAAATCAGAAGTGTTACAAGTACCACCCTTTTGAGGATTTTTAAGGACTAGCTACTCAAGCGCAGTTTCACCTGCTGCTCAGCTCCATATAATCGTAGCGTGATGTTTTATAGCCTATAGCACTCAGGAACATTGTAGCTAGCTATCATTGAAAGAATTTTGGCATTCCGACCAGTGGTTCCAAAGATTACCCCTTAGATACAAATTTACAAACTTACAAATTTTACCTCTTTATATATATTTATTTTATGTAATAGTTCGGCAAACGAGCAGACGGATTACCTGATGGTAAGCAATCAGCGCCGCCCATGGGCACCCGCAACGGAGGAGTTACGAGTGCGTTGTCGATCTTTTAGGGATAAGGGATTTGGAGACTCAGGGATTGAGGAGGGATTGGGGGAAGGGAAGGATTGGGCCTTCGGTAACCTTACTCACACGGCGAAACACAACACTGTGGTGGTTTCACGCCGGTTTTCTGTGAGGCCGTGGTATAACTCCGGTCGAGCCGACCCATTCGTGCCTAAGCATGGCTCTCCCACACTTTATTGAGTGTACTCAACACTTTATTTTAGTATCATATTAGTATAGATTTAAGTATTTGAATCTGATAGTATGGGTGTTCATAGGAAACACAGATTACTTATTCATCATTGGGCCTCCGGTAACCTCACACACACGGTGAAACACAACGCTGTGGTTGGTTCACTTCGGTTTTCTGTGAGGCCGTGGTATCTCGAGACTCTCTCGCTCGGTCGAGCCGGCCCAGTAAGCATGGCTCACCCACATTCAGTCTCAACTTATGACATGTTTGGGAAACTGTATTATAAGTCCAACGACCCTATCAATCTATACTAATATTATAAAGAGGTAAAATTTGTAAGTTTGTACGTAGGGGGTAATCTTTGGAACCGCTGGTCGAATTGCCAAAATTCTTTCACTGATAGGTAGCTATAATGTTCCTGAGTGCTATAGGCTATAAAACATTACGCTACGACCAAATGGCTAGCTGAGCAGCGGGTGAAACCGCGCGAGAATAGCTAGTACAATATAAATGTATATTTATTTTTACACATCTTTCATTGACTGAATTTACTCTAGACTTGAAGAAGTAAATACACACCCATACACGTATGCGAGGGTTTTCATTGAACACACAGCCCGGCTCAGTGCAATCGTTTACCGTTCAACAGATTGAGTGTACTGCACAAACACGGGCAAATACGGGCGCTTCATCTGAATGGCGCAGGATCAATTAGACTAGTCAGCGTGTGTATGTGTACTATTTATTGAGTTCCCTGATAAAATAAGCTGAATTGTTGAGTTAAGAAATGCCTGGTCTAACAAAAGAGTGTTTAATCCAATTAAATAATTTAAATAAAGCAGTTTGTTCGTACGTACCAAATTAAAAGTCTTGGATTTAATGAAATTACCGACTTATGTGAATTTACTGAGAAAAGCTCTTAGCGCATCTGACACTCAGTTCATTCACGTGATGTCCAAGGAATCCGTTATTTACAAGAAAACATTTAAATAGTTCTAAAATATTTTTATATTAAAATCCCCGTAGTTTTCGTGTGTTATTACCGTTTAACCTATAAAATCTCAATTCTATATACATACTAGCGACCTGCCCCGGCTTCACGCGGATACCCGATGCACGGATCTCCATTTTATAGATGTTTTATCTATTAAGAAAACCGCATAAAAACCTGTTTTAAAGATTAAAGCTTATATAGGGATAAAGGGACAGAGAAAACAACTTTGTTTTATACTATGTAGTGATATCTGATGGATTGACAAGAAACTTGTCACCACACAACACTATTATTTATAACATCTTGTCGCCACATATAGCTCCAGTACATTAATAATGTACCTACCAATATCGGATCCCCATTAAATGCAGAATCCTATTCAATATTAATACAGTAATGACAAGTTCTAATTAATCCTGTCACTCAAACCGAATGCGGTGACATTGCAATATGTCAACGTTTGACGTTAACTAAAACGTGGGATTAATACTAATTAAAACGGGTTTAGTGTTTCAGCCTTACTTTTATATACATATAGGTAACTAAATCACTTGATATTTATACAATAAAATCTTTTTCTATGCGTAGCCTTAGTCAAAAACAATACTTTTAAATATTTTTTTTGTTAGATCTCATCTTATAACGAATATTTCTGCGTCAATAGGATACGTACATTAATTGTTATAGTTAAAGGCTCACTCAAGTAAATGTTTAACGAACACGTCGACTAGCTTAGGTCATGATTATGAGCTCCTTGCTTAGCTTAAACCAATACGAGCTCATAAACATACACGAGTATGGCATACTATTTCTTAAAAAGTTAATAGAGAAAATCAAATGTTAAGTGCCATCGTCAAAAAGTGAATGGCAGTGTGATATTTTTTAAATCATATATTGAATTAGAACTTTGCAATTAGCATACAGGGACTCATTAACAACGCCGCTTTCTGATAAATCTGTGCTATTAATTATGTTAATTTATCGATAAGTGAACAAGAAAATAGAAAATATAATTTTAAAGGCTTGTCGCTAAGTGCTTAGTGATTAAACAAATAGCATATTGATTGGCATTTGTTGGCAATTCAACATTAAGTGAAAATATCATACTTAGATTTTCCTATTAAAATACTATTTAGCTCGTACCTCTGACCATAGCTTTCAAGTAAATTATCAAAGTGGTTTCATAGTTATGTTACTAATTAAATATCGCTTCTAACTTCTGTTTCTTTACTATTAAACGTGAGTAATTATAATTAAAGCTCATAACTTCAGTAGCCGAAGGTATTAAGATCAGTGAAAGGCTAGAAATGGCAGTCGTGATCCAGTCGCTATACGCTGCCAACGTTGGCTATGCTCCATACGGCTTTCACCTCCCCCGGACATTGTAGTGTCTAGGGTTGTCGAAATTAGGTAGTTAGTATTTTTCTTAGCCATAAAACAGTGAAAAACAACACACATTTATTAATTTGTAACAAGAATATAAATCTTACTAGAGTATTTAAAAAAATTGGTAAGTATGCGGATTGATGCAAAAAGGTTTTAATGTCACTACACAGGAGCCTATTAGTATTTGTAGTCACCGCTGTATTTCATATAAAACTATCGGTTTGACAATACATGGAATAACCCTAGGATCTATGAAGGCAGTCTTCAAAACAAATTCGTCTACATTTTATTAAAAATGCTTTTGTTGTGTTCACAAAAGTACCACGTTCTTTTCGTTTTTAAAACACACTGTGCATTAAACCCTCTGTATCCCTATGTATATTGATGTAAAGAGAACACCCTGTACAGTGCACTAGATAAACACAATATTGTAATTACTTAAGTAGGACATACTATAATATTGTCCCATGTTAAAAGCCTATTCCATATTAAACAACTAAGAACTGCTTTTAATAATTTTAATAGAAACTTCTTTATGTAGTGCAAGTTTCAACCTAATACGAGTAACTTATAGTATAGTTTAGATTCAACGGAAAGCTGAAAGAAAGCTAACTATAATGGTCTTATTATACAAAACGTGCACTTTTTATTGCATTAATTTTGCTACTCGGTTACTTGGTTGTCACGACTACGTGTATTTGGGTCTTTGGTTTAGTCTTCTAATTGGGCATAGAAAACATTTTGCCATGAGACAAGCCACTTTTTTAAACAATTCAGATCAAACAAACCAGGGTCTGAGTGTATACTGCGTGCTTGTCTTAAGAACATAAACAGCTATCTTGGATTCCAAAACGAAATAAATGTCATGAAAAGAAAAATACATTGTAAACAATTACTTGATTCAGAAAAATCAGGCTCAGAATCAGGTTCATTTGCTACGGAATGGTGCTACCGAAGGTCCAACCTTTTCTCGTCCCCCATCCCCAATCCTTAAATACAGGCCAGCAACGCAATCGTAACTTCGCTGGTGCATACTTTTTGAGAGGAAAAAAAACATCAAATTACTTAGAGGTAGTGTCAGATTCGTACAGATTAAAAATCACCTCGTTCTTTCTCCTGCTCCATGCCGGGGCGGTATATTGATCTCGATTCGCCACCCCGGCTGAACATCAGCCCATTTTAGCCCTATGAGGACTTTCCTAGTGCTGAGGTTGTCCATGTCGACGCCAAATGCATACCCTTTAGTACCTAAGTCATTTAAGTAATCATGAAATGTCTCTCTTACGGTAGTATGTTTATTTGAATATTATAAAGCCTAGCTTTAATTAATCGTAAGTGCTGACTGGTGTCAAACCAAATTACAATAAAGTCACTGAAAAAGTTCCGCAGCAGCCCTACGTTGGACTCTGCCTAGATAATAGCCAGTTGTGACGGCGCGATTAGCTAGCTAGCACTGAGTGACCGAGGGAAGTTATATGATGATATACGTATATATGTAGGTACATACAAACTGTCTAATGTAGAGATGAAGATAGTGAACCTTTTTTAAATATTCTAAAAGCATAGTCTGTTAGGTTTCTTACAAAGGCATTCTATTATGTAGACATTTATTGACATGAATAAATATCCTCTTTTACCAGATAAATGTTTCTCTGACATCTAGATAAAGGTGCCATTAACAAGTTCGAAATCATGGAAATCTTAACTCGACCTTCCACTTTAAAAATTAATTTCACACAAAATAACGGCAAACAGAATAAAAAAATTCTAGATCTAAAATCATGAACTACGTCATAGCCTAAGAGCTTATTACACTTTATGGCTGTCACTTTAATTTGACAACTGAAGAATAATAACGTCATTTTGTTTTTAAGTTAAATTAATATTTCTCATTTTCCAAGCAAAGCAAAGTACGTAAACGGTCCCTTAATTAATGAACGAAATATACGGCGCTTTCCGAGAAAAACTTATTACGCTTATGTACGCTATTTAGTAAATTAGTCCTAGTATACATACAGGCTAAGCTTCATGATGTATATAGGCTCGTTTTACGACGAAATTATATTTACAAAATTGCTATTACAAAACTGTGCTATATTATAGTCTGCGATGTTACCTGCGTGTGCGTGGTTTATTGCTAAGTGCCCTAGAAATTACACTTTTGTTGGCATCGAAATTTCAGTAGCTATAACATCAGTTAAGTCAGTTTTTGCCATTGTTATATTTATATATTAAAATGCATTGCACAGATCAACGTTCAAACAGAATTATTTCCTCATGAAAAAGAGTTACCATGCGATTTTCTTACTCGTTCTTCTCGTATTTGATATTGATTATTTGACTTAGCCTATAACTCAGTCTACTATTATTTTACCAGGCATAGTCCGGTTGGTTATGGAGCCACATTTGCCAACGTACTTAATGTATATCTAATAATAGGATTCCCTACAGACTGGCAACTTCAGCAAAAGGAAGCTGTAATTATCTCCATAATTTATAAGAGATTAGATGTGGCTATTGATGTAGCTGTAAATAACAACTAAGCTGATTATACTTAGTTGCTGTCATGAACTAACCGAGCAACTTGCCCCGACCCTCAGGAAGCTGCTACATCGGACGTCTGCACCGGTTTGCATAGTATTTACTGTGTGTGGGCGACCTGAATTGCTACATTTTATGCTAGGGACGAAATGTATGGGACTTTTATGCAGTTAATCAGGAAACGTATTGAGATAAATCTATTTAAATTGAGTAGTTTCCTTGGTCAAAAATAAATTAATTCGACGTTTCAATACAATAAATTGAAAAATAACTATACTTTTATTCATCAGATCTGTCGATGTACTAACTTTCCGATATTTTTTAGAAATACTATGACGTCATAATGGGGAATTTCATACAAATTTCATAGAAAAGTATCGTTTTTGACATTTGGATAAAAGTATTGAATTTGACTAGTTGGAAACTACCGTATTGTAAATGGATACAATTCCATTGTATTAACAATACATTAATGATACGGATTGTGTTATTAATATTGGTTTACCTAAGTTAGATATTCAAATAATGTTAATATAAAAATATTTCTGTATCATAATGTTTTCCCTAAATTTTGTGGAAGAATGTTTATTAAATTCATTAAACAATTCTGTCACTTTAATTTTTTTCTGGAAGTTTCAAAAGAGATGAGAAATATTTTTTTCTATCTTCTTCATAGCGGGACTTTTTAGATGTTTTGAAAGAAATTACTTGACACAAATGTCTACGACAGAAATAATTGAAATAAGGAAAAATAATTTCGTATTCAAATATGTACTTTTTCTACTTCACAATAAATATCATTTTTTATTTTTACTTTGGCACGGAATTTTGTGTGAAGCGACAAAATGTAGTCTTTAAATAAGTGAGAATTTTATTTAATGAACACTTAGAATTAAGGACATTCAAAATGTAATCGTTTTTCCTCTGCTCGTGACACGTGTGACTTACGCCGGCGCCATGTTGTTAATCGCGTGCAAAATATAAAAAATAAGAAACATTAAGATTTATGTACTCGCTAATACTGTTATAATTAATTTCGAACCAAATTTTCTTAAGAGCTTCGTAAATTGTTTTAAGGGAATGTTGATCTTTCATCAGACTCAAGATTAGGATACGAATTGGTGCTTCGACTAAAAATAGATTGGACAATGCCTAGCAAAAATTATGCGCCGACAATAAAGCTTTGTGAATATTTTACTCTGTGGATCTTTAATGGACGCTAACATTATTGAAAATACTTAAACTCTTTTTTGTGGTCTATATTAAAACAGGTTCCTACGAATTATTACAGAACTAAATATTGTGTGGTCTAAAGGGGTATGAATTTTTAAAACATGACATGGGCTACTACAGTACACGCTCAATTTGAAACGCCACAGCTGAAACTATTCATAATCCATATTTATGTAGGTCCATAAATATGGATTATGATATTCTCACAAGTAATAAATCTCCAACAGGATCGAAATATTCCATATCTTACCTCACACACAGAAAAGGTACACAGAGTCTTTTGACGAAACAAATCACAAAATCCAGCTTATTTTGAGACCCAAGATCTTCCATCAATATACTAGTTCTGTTCCTCGGCTTCAGTTCGTAGTTTGGTAACATGGTAACATAATATTCGGTCCTTTGTAAATAATAAGATAATATTGTGTGGGCGGCTTATTTGCTGTACAGCGTCTCGGGGGCTTTATTATCATTTGGCTCACAGGATATTGGATTTCCAGAACATCTCGGATGTCAAGCAAATTATTTTTATTTGTTCAACAGTAGTTGAGGTGATGTTTATTGTTCTTTTTTTATTTCACCTTTATTGTTGTTTTGTTTGATACACACACACACACAGAGTTATCACCTGTCCACGTTTAATTTTACTGACAGAAATAAAATTGGATTTACTTTGGTATCTCCAATTCCAATTGGAAAGAAATTGATGTGACTTTTATCTTATTCGGTATAGAGGTGTATTTGATTTCATTGATTTGCCGTGATGTATCGGTATAGGATTGTATTTATAGTGAAAATTATTGTGAATAAATCATGAATCGTAGCGTAGCGCTCGTAGCAAAGTAAATCTATACAATCAATACTTAGAGCTCGTTTTACCATCTTCATGTTAGTGCTAGATATACACCTTGTGTGACAAAGTTCAAACAAATAACGTTCAAATTTGTATAACAAATGATGAATGTGCATGTAGTGAATGTGCTACGTCGTAGCGCTCGTAGCAACGGAAATGCTCTACAACTATTCCAATATAACGAACTGAAAAGTTTTTTTTTTTTTAATGTGTCCGGAACTGGTTCTACGAAATGGCCTTTTTGTGTTATTTACTGGTATTCAACAATTTTCTCGATTGTTGTTTTCCAATTTACCCATCTCCTTTTTTCTTGATATTTATTTATATAAACCTTCTACTGATTTCAACAATTTTTATTTTATTATTTTTTGCTATATTTACTTATCCAATTATTTTTTTGTTTACAGGCTGTGCACACTTCGGATTACCAGGCTCCGAGTATGCGGTGCGCTGGGCGAGACGGGCGGTGGCGCTGCCAGCGGCGCGGGCGCCGGCGCCGTCATCCTTGCCGCGCGCATGCACAGCTCCAAGCGGACGCTTCGGTCCAACGACATCACAGTACCACCGCTTGATGTCGAGCTCGACCTTTGCTTCTCATTGCAATACCCTCACTTCGTCAAACGGGATGGTAACAGGTTAGTATTGTCTTCCGGAAAAAACTTGGTCTCAATATTGAAAGTTCCAGTGCATGAAAGGTTTTACGATTTGTAACAATGTTTTTTTGTTTTATTACTCATTCTGTTCTAAATTGGGCCGCTATAACTTTTATCATGAATTAAGGTCATTCAATAAATAAAACTCTTTCTATTTGAAAAATAGATATCAACTCTGACACGAACAACTCCAACAAGACAAAGCTATACAGTGTATCGTCTTTTACAACATTTCTAGAACATTAGAATCTAATAATACACAACTTACAATCTAATAATATGCATAAACATGTCATTAAAATACAGCCAGGGTAACTCCAGGTTAAGAACAATTACGTAGCGTAGCCTTAGCCTGGAGCAAAAGGAACAGGGTGATTTTTAATTTGCCAATAGATGGAGGCGACCAGCCACTGCCGAGAGGTCACGAAAGTCGTTTTTGGTCTTCGAGGCTTCTCCCAAAAGGCAGAAGACGGCACGAAAGTTAAGATTTTTAGTGGGTGCAAGCCCCACATAGCCTCACCTTCTCCCCGGGCGGTGTATGTATGCGTAAGGCATTTTTCTCAGCTGGAAAAAAAAACCTGGAGCAAAAGAAACAGGGTGATTTTTAGTCAGTAAGAGTCTGATACTGCTTCTCGCCACCCAGGGTAAGAGAAATTATGAAGAGATTGCCGTATCCTCTCAAAAAAGTCACAAAATTACAATAATACTAATAAAAGTCGACTGCACTATAACAGTATGTCTTCCATCACGCGTATTAAGACATTAATCTAGTTTTTGCCGCGTGTTTATGTTTATTTTTACAGTTTTTATTACCTTTTTTTATATAGCTAAGGAGAAGTAGGTGTTTAAATATTCTGTTATCCGGTCAAGGTCTTTTCTGTGATTAGTCTTCTTCTGTTCATACATTTTCTAGTTAATTGTCAGTTTTTCTTTCTTGATAAATGGTTTTTGCATTTAGTTTGTTTGTTAATATAAATAATACTGTTAGTATGTTGAGTTTGTGCCGTTCTCTTTGAATTGATAAATCATCACCATCATCATCATCGGCCTATATGTGCCCACTGCTGAGCAAAGGCCACTTCTCACACGGAGAAGGTTGAGCATTAACCACCACGTTTGCGCCAGGCAGATAAGCGATTTCAAAAATCGAATTATAAGTGTAGAATTCCTATACGATATCTTTCTTCACCTTTGTCAGTGGTGTTTAAACAATCATAGAAAGTACATATAGCTCGGAAAAAGTCACATTGGTACTTGCCAGATATTGTATTTTTTTTTCTGTTTTGGTAATCAAAATTATTATTGCCGAACTAACTTTTTTTGAAGCAATTTAGTTACAGTAACTTCTCGCAGCTTAAAACAACATTCCTTTTAAGCTAAACAACAATCTCAATAAAATTGCCTTCTGTTCCCATAATGGTCATAAAGTAGCTATTTTAAATCCTAGTCTTTTGCCGTAGCTCAGTACTCGAATCAAACAGCGCGGTATAAACAATTTGGGCTATAAAAGGGAACATAAAACTATACTGGAAGCGCCTCACGATCCAACGCTGGTCAATCTTCAAAGAACAGTTTATAATTGTTTACAGTACGATTAATCGATTCTCCTCTCGATACTGTAGCGATTATTATTATGTTTTCTTGAGATATTTTCGTGTTTAAACTTTCATGAGACATTTAGCTGGGCAACGTTCGCCACGTTGTGTCGCTATACCTACTGCTCATGAATATGAGCTCCTCCGCGTCTTGAACTTGATCGAGTTCCTCGTCGAACAATTACGTCAAAAGCTGTTAAACATAATAATATGTTATATACAATTTTCTTGAGTTACATTCTTCGTCTCGATTGTGCAATGAAATGATTGAAATAGAGGTCTCAAATTTGATTCCTGTATTGCTTCTTATTGCGTCTGGTTTGATAGGACTTAAGATAATTATTGTGTTTGTGTATTATGGTTGTTCAATATAAAAATGACATTAATTACTGTAATTTTCATGATTTTTATTAATAATATAATTTTTCCATTTCAGATTACAAATCATGCTACAGCGTCGCAAGAAATACAAGAACCGCACAATTCTGGGGTACAAGACTTTGGCTGAGGGTGTTATCAGGATGGACCAGGTAAATAGAACATCTGTTTATTATTCTTACACAATTTTCAATTGTAGTATATTGCTGATTGTATTATTCTATTATCAGTCGTAATGAATTCACCTCTCATTGAACGAATTGATCAAAAACCCCTGGACCGATTTAATATCGATTGAATTTTCAAACATAAAGGACCTTTGCCTTTTTTGAAGGTCTCTTGAAAAAGTGAAAACATCCATTTTCTATTGGACATACCTATATTTATATTATTTAACGCTCATTAAATTGTAATACAGAAATAAGCCATGTTCTCCTAATGGTCACATCACAATCACAGAGCATTTTAGTTGGGTTGGTTACCTACGTTACCAAAGCACCATGGTATGATGCACAATTCCGATCCTGTTATGGTCGCATCTATACGCTTAACTGACCTTACGATGTGGTTAGTGAATGCTGACAATTCTCTTATAACTGTATTAGATATCATATGATGTGAGCAAAAGCTGGTGCTGGGCATTCTGGTCTACTTCTATTTAGATTTGAAAGGTATTTTTACTTATGTCTGTGATCAGGGAGATCAGAGAAAAAGGCACATGATGATTTCATCATTTTTTTTATTCGGATATTTGGCTGACATGTATTTAAAAACACAAACTGTAGGCAACTTTTAAACTAAATGACTTTTTCCTCTTAATTTTTGTTTCAAAGAACTCATACTGGCGAATCGTCCTTCAAAACAATACAAAGCTTTTTATGGAAGCCCCTCCAAAAATAGAATAAAATATAGTAAAGTTACGATCTCTATCAGTGTTTCGGAGTTACAAACCAATTGGTATAAAATGATTCTTGGAAGTACGTTGTAAATCTATAATGTTGTTTGCGATTGATTCTGCGATGGCAAATTCAGTTTTTGAATATTTGTCATTGTAGTTTCGAAACGCAAATACTGATTGTCAGTTAATGGTGATTTTATATCAATAAATAAATTATACAACATTTAAATATGAAGCAGTGATTATATTAATTTGACGTGCTTCATTAAGCATGCCCATGCCCATGATAAGGCAACTACTGCCTGCAGGGTTTGTTAAACCATATGTACAGTTTTTTAATATAAAAGTGCTACTCAAGAGCATATGGATCACTTGATGGTAAGCAATCGTCGCCGTCCGTAGACACCTGCAACATCAGAAGAGGAGCAATTGCGTTGTAGGCCTCAGATAGAATGCCAGTATTACAGTGTAAGCGCAATGAGGCACCACGGCCTCGCCCTAGAGCAGGTGAAAGACCAGGGGAGGGATTAGTCAGTAAGAATATGACACTCCCTCCCGCACCACCTTGGGCAGGGGGAGTCATTTGATGATTTTCCCCTGGCCTCTGATAGAATACTTTCCCAAGCAATTTAAAGACTTGAATTAGGTATCCTATAATAAACACTACACAAACTTTGTAGACAAAAGTAGCATTCTCTATATTTCAACAGTAACAACGAACAATTTTGTTAAAACAGTCGGTACTTGGTACTAAGTATCACAACTCTTCTGACCTTGGTTTTTCTTTTGACTTCGTTTAGTTCTGTATCTGCATAATATGTATTGTGGATCAGTGTATAAAAACCTTCTTACTGGTTTTTCGAGGATTGGTACGAGTTGGGATTTTTATGTTGTAAAGAATTCTTTAATTAAACCTTTTTTCAATTTCGCTGTTATTAACTAATTATACACATTTTTTTATATTATCGTTCGCCAAACGAACAGACGGATTACCTGATGGTAAGCAATCAGCGCTGCCCATGGACACTCGTAATATCACCTCACTCAAACGACCAAACACAACTTGAGTGTTCCCCTTTTTTCTGTGAGGCCGTGGTATTACGTCGGTCGAGCCGGCCCATTCGTTCGTACCGAAGCATGGCTCTCCCACACTTAAATTTAGTTGAGATAAGTTTCAGATTTCGTGAAATGTGTTCAGAATGGGTACGTGAATAAACCAATTAGTACATAATTATGTACTATCGTTTTATTAAAAATATGTACCATCATACCACCGGCAATCGGCAAAATATTGTTTACCGGTACGCTTGCTCCACCGTAGGTCGCATCCTCGCTTACTGCCAGGGGAGATAGCGATAGAAAAACCATTTACGAAACAATTAAAAAAATACATTACCATCTGCTTTTCCATTTCATGTCTACGTACCGGATGCGCCAGCTTAATACATTACCCCCACACGTATGTACCTTCGTATACACGCATACATACGTAGATAACTCATTAAATAATCCGCTTAATTGCAACGCCCTCATTATCAAGGCTCAGGACTTTGTTGGTAATTTGTGAGTCATTGCGTTTGCGTTCCAGAAGGATTCAAATGGACTCTTTACATACCGTTTTATGATGGTACTAGGGATTTTAAAGTAGAATAGCATTGTTTTGACGTATACTTAAAAGCAAATTGAAACACCGATAGGATATGTATGGACATAAAACTCTTCGGGAGATAAAGTGATTAACTTACAATTGTGGTGACTATTTTTAATTTGTCTTAAATTTTTCGCCTTCCTTCTAGGTAACATCCCATCTACACTAGGCCTAATTTCAAACTCCATGTTATTAAATTGATTTTCTTAAATACCAGTAATATTTCAGTCGATCTAGGCCATCAGGAGTCCAGATTTCGACTAGTCGTCATATGAACCTTTCTGGAGAATCGACCAATTATACCCTAACACAATTCCATGACAATTAATCTGACCTACATAATACCTTGATTATCCTGTTACCTCGTTAAGTTCCGCGAACGTTAATCGATATACAAATTTGAATAGGCCAACAGTTCCCTACTAATGTGTGTGAACTGCGAACCTCGGGTGGTTAGCGTCGCAAATTGATGTGGACTATTGTCGATCGTACCTACGCTGGTTATATTGTATACCGGAGCAGTTATATGTGCAGTCGCCATTGCAATATGTAGTTTATTACATGTACATTACATTGGTATTTGCAATTTTGTACCGTTATTGCTGGCTTCACCTCAATTATCAATATCGTTAGCTAGAATACATATCATCACTCTTACGACTTTTAGGTGGGGAAAGAAATAAAAAATAATTTATTTTGAATTAATGCTCCGTTGGGCGACTTTTGTCGTTAGTTAGGGCTCGTTTCCGGTTTTGGCGATGAATGATAGGGGATCGTGATGGCGCCTAGTGCTGTCGCACCGCTAGCACTGCAACAAGCTTTTACGACTCGCTACTTGCATTCAATGGCTCCCCGCGACTCTGATAATTGCATTTTCATTGTTCAGCTATTTTAGATAGGAAATATTAGATTATAATGTCAATTAAATTATTGGTAGGATATATATATACATATGAAGAGAACATGTAAAGGAAATACTCAGTATTAACAGTGGCTAGATGTAATAGATTGTAAGTTTTATCTTCACAATTAAAAGCAGGTTTTATATTTGATTAAGTATAGGATTATGCTTCTCTCATTAACCTATCCTTCTTTTACAGGTACTCCAAAGGTCAATGGACATGGAGCTGGAGCTAACAGGCGTTGGTGGCAAGGTCGGCGCTGCTGCAGGACAGCCAGTCGCCAAGCTGACCATCACTGGCCTCGCGTCCACTCCCGTAGACCATGACACTAAGAACAACAATACTTTGCTTATTACAGGTTAGTTTTGAAGTGACAACAGCTTCTTTGAAGCCAATTTTTTTTCAAAAACTTATATATTGTTTTCTATTGGACAAATTTTGTCTTGTAAATGTATATGGTATCCAGGAATGTCTAATGCTCCCTTAAATTAATTTCTTATTTTTTTTTTAATCTCACTTGTATGATTACTCTACTATTGGATATGGGTCACAATTTAAAACAACCATCCGATCATTCTGAATCTTGAAATAGCATGCATTAGTTCTAACCTATCGAATATGTGTCAAACTACAAAATGATTATTATTTTTTCCCATATTTTAAACTTATCACTCGTCAATCCACAGAACGAGGCTATTCAGATGAAGAAGAAGAAGGGGAATTCAGTTCGGTAGAGGAAGCCGATGAAATGACGTACGGAGCTCCCGCCAGGCGGCGCGCGCATCGACAATTGGCGTTCAACAAAACTGACTTATCATATACCAAGGTAAAATGCATGTGGCAATTCATTTAAGTTGTAAAAAGTAGGAAAAATCTACTTAATATGTGTGTTATTGTAATTTAAATTACAGAGTCAATAGTTTATATATAAGAGTCAAATAGTTATAATAATATCAAATTTGCGGTAGACTGTACTAGATTTTTTTCTCTTTAAGAATTATTTAGTAAGGAGAAATCGTTGATTTGGGGATATCTTTTTGTACAAGTAGCAACTTAATCTTTCTAGAAAGATATTTAAAGAATTTTTAGGTTTTCTTAAATAATAATTTGAATATAGTAGACAACAAGTTGTTGTTTCTCAAATTCTCAAAAAAAAAACTGCATGGTTTGACAAATACGCTTTTGCTTAAGGGTGCTTTTCATATTTATCGTGTTTTTATCATTTACAGGCCGAAAAAATACAGAAATTATGTACAATATCCATATTTATTTTATTATAGCTTCTATTTAGTAGAAGTTAAGGCTTATTATAGCTTATGCGTAATAGGCGTTGCATTGCACGCAGTTGTCCCGTTCTCGCGACTTGAGCTTCATGGAGCGCGAGCGAAAGAGACAGAGCTATATAAACTCTAAGGCGAACGACAGGGACAGGGACAGCGACAGTGAGCTAGAGACTGCGGCCGCGAAACGCAAGGGCAGCCGCGGGAAGCTCGCGGTGAGCGCTTGCGCACGCACGCTTAGTGTTACCCGTATGAGAATAGAAATTATAATGGTCACATCACACCACATCTCTGTCATCACACTCATTTTGTAAATATCAGAAGAACACAGTGAGATTAGAAGTTTCTGAATTAAAATTGCATGAGGAAGAAAGTCTATCTGACGTTTAATTACTGCCTATTAGTCACAAAGATGGCGCACAAGTCTCTGTTAGAATACCTAAACTTCTGTTTCATATTGTCTGTACTATTCCTGTCTATGAATGACTGAACTATGTACATAGATCTGTGTTGCTAGGTTTGCATGTTCCCACTGTTACGTGTTACCCGCTTAGAAAAAGTCTCCTTCATTCTGGCAACACTAGCATTCTGCATTCTAAATTAATACAGTTCCGTCTCAAACGTAACTGAACTTAATAATCATCGATATAAGGTCTAAAATTTCTATTCTCATACCGTAGAGTTTTGGTCTTCTAGTTTGGGATAGCATGCATCATGTTAGTAGAATTTCTGTAGAATATTTCGTTTAAACAATTTAAAGCTAGATCTTAAATGTAAATAATGTAAATGTTACTTATTGGTCACAAGTTAGTCTCTTAATCTATGTTACTAATGAAACACAATTAAAATAATCATTAGGAATATTGTAAATGTCAAACTTTTCGTCACAATGTCAAACGTTCTCTTTTAAATAATAAAGTTTTGTTTAAAAAAAATGTCTATTTAAAGTATAAAAAATAAACAAAAAACTAAGTAAAAAAATGACTGTGTAAAGTTTAGAAAAAAAAAACTGAAAAAAATGCTTTCAGCTTAAACTCATATATCGACATTTAAATAAATCTGGTTAAAATTTGCCATTGTGTCTACCCAGAAAACATTCAAGGTTATGTTGCGGTTAAAATTGCAGGCTCGCGTTGACACATTGCAACTATGCATTTGGCGCAGCAACTCTGCAATGCTTATGGTATTCCCGTCCAGGTGTTGGTGAGCCGAATGCCTCATCCCCATCTCACACATATGTAGTAGATGCTATTTAGAAATATCATATCACTCGTGGTAAAAATAACATATGTGATTAGGTAGGTCTAATGACCGGGTTAACCCGCGGCTCGGCTCCTATGGGTCGTAGCGTGATATTTTATCTTTTAGCCGTCCTCAATAAGCGGTTTATTCAACACGCATTCCTCGATAAATGGCCTATCCAATACCAAAAAGGATTATTCAACCAGCAGTACCGCAGATTAGCGCGTTCAAACATACAAACTCTTCATTATTTTATAGCCTCTTAGCCTTCCTCAATAAATTGTCTTTCCGATTCGAATCAGCCGTTTCGGAGATAAGAGTTTCAAACAAAGAAAGAAACAAACTCTTCAGCTTTATAATAAGAATATTATAAAATAGTTGAGATTTTTTTATTCTAAGCCTAAGTAGGACATTGTCTTATTTAGTTGCATACAAAATAATTATTCCGGTTTCTACCATTAGTTCTCGAGCCTTAAGTATAGCACCCCTGGTGCTATCTTAATGCAGAAGTAAGAGGCTGAGCCTTTATTAAGATCATATAAGTATTGCAGACGAATGATGTATCAAATATTTTAAATTCCTTCTGTGCTCTTTACATGATTATGAAGAACAAATTACAGTCAGTCTTTTTCTATCACTAATTTTTCAAGAACAAACTTTCTACGTTTTTATACTGCATGTTATCACGTTATCATTTACGACGTAAACAAATTATGTCATAATGTTTGGTGGCTTACCATAGATTAGATTACTTACCTATGACACCCGGCACGGTGGCTCAGTACAGTACGGTCAATGGAGGTGAAAGCTGTACGTATAAGTCAAATGCGCGTGCGCATCCTTGGATCTTTGTTACATAGGAGATGTATTCTGTGTATTTATACTTGGACTCATAAATTTAATGTATTATTAGTTATTCCAATGAAGTGTTCAGATTTTAAAATTAGAAGGGATTTTTTTAAAGTTGAAATATAAATTTGTGTTGTGTTGTGTTGTTTTTGTGTGGTGTTGTGTTGGTAACTGTGGTGTTTGTGTTTGATGGTATAATTCAATTTGAAACTCTTGTCTTTGTCTTATGTTTGTGTATTTCGTGTTTTTGTAATAATGTAATATCTAAAATAAGATTGCAGGTCGCTTATCTTTAAACATCATGTGTCTCTCGCTAAAAATATCCTCAAGGCTTCAGTAGGATATGTGTAGTGTGATACATCCAAGTTCATTGTAAAGACAGGTCATTCATGTTAATAGGTATTTTCCTTTAAAAACTTTTGCATAAATAGATTCCTAAGTTTTTTAGAAAACATTAATATGATCTAAATTTAATATAAACTTGATTACTGTTTATAAGGTGTAACATAATTTAAAATCGAACTGAATGATTCATCATTCTATTGATATCAATGATAAGATAAAAATAAAAACAACAATTAAATATTCTTTATCTGTACTACAAAGTAGCTACGAACTATTGCAATGAGTGAGTCATTGTTTATAAAAATAAAATGGGTATGGGCTATTTTTTATAAATGCTACTTTTTTATATGTCTGTAATCGTTTTTCTGTAAGATGAAGGGGAAAAATTACATATTCACGTACCTATAACTTTTATCTTAAAACTGTAATTTTTTTCTCTAAGGTGAAGGGAAAAGAAATTACAAATTCACGTGTAACTTTTATCTTAAAACTTGTAGCACACTTAAATATTTAGAGATATTTCTCAACATAGTAAATAGCTATCAATTTAGTAATTCACATAGAATACGAAAAAAAATAGAATTATTTTACGATAATTCCCTAGTTTTCACGTAAAAGATAGTTACATATCTATTCTCGCACAGAAAATAAACAGCGTATTAATATAAAATGTAGCGTATATAATGTTTAACCGTATTGCGCTCTGTTACAGCAACGCAATCTGAAGCAGAAGTTCGCGGCGCTGTTGCGACGGTTCCGAGTGCCCGAGGAACTGTCGGAGCGAGGCGCAACTAGGGACACGCATCACGCGCAACACGACATTGATGAACTATTCCAGGTATGTAACGTGGCGTGTTGCTGCAACTGATACTTGCAACAACAATAAAACAATGAATTTATTTTTGAAAATGGCCGTAAAACAGCACTTTTACACGTCAAAATTACATTTTTTCAAAAATCTAGATGAAGCTAGCCGCAACCGCTAAAAATAGTCATAATAACAAAATCTAGCTATCTAAAATTTTCACAATTTTAATTTTCATTTATGTCAGGAACTGGAATCATTATCATGCGGCGAGGGCGAGGATTCAGGACCAGATCAGATGGATACTATCAGTATCGGTTCCACACCCAAACCCTCTCTCAGACCTTTCTTCAGCAGCTCCAGGAGTCTCGCCAATCAGGAGCATCACAGGCATTCCAATGGTATGTACTCGAATGCGTCGCGATGTCAGAAATAGTCAAAAAAACGTTGCCTAGCTCTTGGTCTCATTTTAGAAGATTTTATACGTTTTGTTTTAGAAAATTTACTTTTAAACTTTTACATTTTTATATTTTTGTATTATACTTTTTTATTTTATTTTTATTTTAATAAATAATAATTTCGAATATCGTTTTTCATTTCTTCTAATGTCTTATTATGAATTTACCTTAACTTTTTGAAATATTTTGTTTGAGTAGGAAGTATTTGGTCTCAATCTTCGAAAGTTAGACCAGGAGCTGCACAACAAACACGCATAGTCATCCATTTATAACACAACTAGTGTATGGTAAAAATATAATGTGAATCAGTAACAATTAATTGCCTGTGCATCGAAGCGTACATTTGATGATGCATTGTGATGTAATACGCTTAACTTTTGTTTATGCTTACATACATTTTAATGATACAATACATTTATACATACATTGAGATATTTTATGTTTTGTTCCGTAACGCTGTGTGCATTAGATTAGTTTGTGTGCGAGGTGGAATACGATCGACATGGGCCCTATAAAAATGTTGACCACTATATGTCAAAACTGAGATTTTTTACCAATAATCGGCATATTAAATGAGTTAATGCTCTACGAACAAGGCCCATAACCTAACAAAACAGGGCGAGGCATTGGTCTTCACAACTGATAATATATAAAAAGCACAATAACTTATTGGTGGTAAGACAAATGGCACCGCAAACTAAATGTGCGGCGGTATTCCACGTTGCACGCGGTGACTGAAGGTGCATGCGCAGTGGTGCGGCACGCGAGCGTCGCGTCCGGGGCCGAGCTCGCCGCGCTGCGCGAGAGGCACGTCAACACCCAGCCACTCACAGGTAGGCGGGACACAGCTGCTCCATCAAACTATACGTGGGTCGGGGACAGGTCTTAAGGACCATTCTTTTACCAGAGCCAAACACAAGGTTTTTTTGTTAAAGCAGACCTTATAATGGGCTGTATGAAATTTTTAATTAAAAATTAATAATATATGACCAATACACAATACAGAAACATATTATGTTTAAATATGGGTAAAGTTTCATTAAAATTAAAGTGGCGAAGTACACCCTGCTCTTGGTGAAACGATATAACAAATCCCGATGTGATATGATTAAGTTGTAAAAACAGTCTCTAGCTCCTGGACTATAGAGCTTATTGGCCTGTAAGTTGGCAAACTGATTTTATATGCATGGAAAACTATGAATAAGTTTCCGTTTGTATATGATGCTGTGAATTGATTACATATTTAAAGGAGTAAGTTGTATTTAAGTAAATATTTGATCGAGATTGATAAGAATATTAATGTACTACCACCTTAACTCACTTTTTTCTTCTTTATTTTTTGTTAAACAATCTCTATCAAATGATTAGTTTATTATGACTATTAGCGTGCTTCTGTCTGTTATTTTGTGTTATTATTATACTGTTCACTATCACTGCTTCCTGTCTTCACCCGATGCTATACAGGGTGGCACTATTGCATGGTTTGATCAACTTTTACTTAATTCTCATTATTTACTACTATATCTATCCTAATTTATCATTAAACTTAATTATTTTCAGAACTATATTTATTTATAAGTTATAAAGTAATTATTAAGCTATTTTGTTCATGATTATACAGATACATGATAAAAAAATAAGTTGTTATTTAAAACCTGTTTACAATAAATAGAATTGGATAATATTTTATTCATATTTTAAAAAACATTCTGTATAATGACTACAAAAATTTTTCAAATCAAAAAGAAAATTACAGAATTTAAATTACAAACGTAACGTTTAGAAAATTTGAAATTGTATGACATCAGAATCAGAAGCGGTAAGAAGTTCAGCTGGGGATGAACGAGCGAGTGATGGTAACAGTGATGGTGATGCCACCATCGACGCGCCCGTGTCGGGTGCCTCCGTGTCCAGCTCCCCACCTAACGAGATCAAGGTCAGGGTTAGTTGAAAACCTCTTTATTAACTTTGATACTTTATATCGTCTATCAGGGAAACAGAAAATGTCGAAAGGTATCGTTTATAAGGACAACTTCGAATTCGCACTCACCAGATGGCGCTTCGAGCGTTTAAAGTCTGCCGTTCTTTACATTCTTTGTCAACTCAAAAAATCAAAATCATTTATTTCAATTAGACCATAAAAGGCACTTTTGAACGTCAAGCAACAAAAAAGTATGAAAAGCTTTAACTTTAAGCGTGTCAGTCTGTCCGTCTGTCCTCTAGTGAAGCTATTTGCTCGTTCCAAAGTGTAAATTTCTATGGAGAAGAACGAGCGAGAAACTCCATAGTTACTCTTTTTCAATCAGTTTTACAATTTATTTCTTTGTTGCATCATTTAGTCGGTGCTCATATGTGAGAACAGTGTAACAACTAATGTTTAGGCAAAGAAACTTTGGATCAATGTAATCTTTAGTTATAGAAACTCGACACAAGATGATATTTTATGTTTCTTTTCGTCATAGTTTTTTTTTTTAATTAAAAGTCGTGGTAAAGTTTTATGAAACGGCAACAGTATTAATGGTAATTTGGTTGTTTCAGGAGGACAAGCGGTCCCGGTTATTTCGCAGCGCGACTAGCGGTGGTAACCTTATACCTGGCGGTGGGGTCACGCGCAAGAAGAACTCGCTTGTAGTTGGCACGGAGAGGCCGCTCTCTGCGCACGAGTTGCCTGCACAGAGTCCCACCACTTTGGAGGTAACATTAAAACATTTTGTTATTGCATTGTTTTAGAAAAAATGGAAATATGGCATTAAAATGTATTTTCTATATGTTAAATATTGAAAGCCAAATCCAACCAGTCGTTGTGGACGTCATTGAGTTTCCTTACGTTCAAGAGTTACGTTCAACTCTATGACAATAATGTCAATGACAGGAGCACGAATTCGATTTCTATAATTTTTTAAAGATGTTTGGAACAACTACAGTAGTCGTAGGGTTGTCATGTGGCTGATATTTACTGTCCACCAAATAGATGTGACAGTCAACTGTGATATACAATTAAAATATTAAACAATAGCGATAAATAGGCATGAAAGTAATGCAAAAGCCATGAATTGGGTAGTTTCCTAGGTCAAAAATAAATTAATTCGACGTTTCAATACAATAAAATATTGAAAAATAACTATACTTTCATTCATCGATCGATCGATCGATACACTAAATTTTAGATATTGTGTAGCTAATTTTTAAGAAATAAGTAAGCTATTTGACGTAAAAATACTATGACGTCATAGCTTAGTTTTTCATACAAATTTCATAGAAAAGTATCGTTTTTGACATTTGGATAGAAGTATTGAATTGGACTAGTTGGACACTACCGTATTATCGGACAGGTAAGTGGTTAATAAGTAAACGTTGGTATTATTCCAGCCGCGGCGTACATGGGCGGAGCAGGTGTCGCGGCTGGCGGGCGAGGAGCTGGCGGGCGAGTGCGTGGGCGTGTGCGGGGCGGGTGCGGGCGCCGCGCAGGCCGCGCTGCTGGCGCTGCGCGTGCCCGCCGCCACCGCGCCCTCGCCCGCGCCCGACCCACGCCCTCTGCTGCACGCGCTCATATCCAGGGCTAAGCAGTTCGTATATTTTACTTTATTTACAATACACTTTACTAAATACAAAACGATAAAATTTAACTTTGTGATTGGAATGAATTACCAATCTGACCGATTGTTCAACAAGATTGTATACTTCATTTAAGAATTTTTACGTCATATGAGACTATATTTTTCATATAAGACTGTATTCTTTATTTGAGACTGTATTCTTTATATGAGATTTTTTAACACATTTTTTTTAACACCGTTATCCTTTTACATGTACAAACATCACCTTTAAGTAATATAATCTGTCGTGTTGCAGGGGAGCCCGTCGTTCGTGTATCCGCGTGGCTATCTGCGGCGGGGACGCGGCGGCCAGCGCGGCCCTGCGCGCGCATGCCGAGCTGGGCGCGCGACGCCCGCACGATGCACCCACGCTGCGCTTCTACTTCGTACCCATCGGTTAGTACATACTCTCTTATCCACATTTTTTTACATTCCACATTATCATCAATAGGAAGACGTCCCATCCACTGCTGCAGAAAGGTATTTTCCTTCTAATTCCCTAATTCTATATCACAAAGCCAATATATTTACTTAGGGGCCGAGTTTGTTCTCTTTTTTCGTCCTCTCCTTCAAAAATTCATTCTTTTAACAAGCATAATTCTATCACAAATCCATTGAAAATTAGATTTATTTAATAAAACCACAATTATTATCTAGGTCCCAGTGTGATAGCGCGCCACCTGGCGGCGTCGGACGGCGGCTACGCGTCACTATTCACGGGCGACTCGTGGGCCAATATCTGCGAGCGAGCCGCCGATGGCTCCGCGCCTGATGTCGCCGAAATGTCCTCAAGAATCGGCAGGTACGTTCTAAATTGGAACTTATTGTGTTACACTTGAGAGTTATTTTTGATTGTTATATTTTTTGTTCTTTCTGTGTTCCGGATCAAAGACGTATGATGTGTATGAGCTTAGCCGATTTTTAGCTTTTGGAACCGTGATTTACTTACAATTTTTATAAAACTTATAAACTTTTGTAATCTATTCGAGGATGCTCGATTCGTTTCGAGCCACTAAGAGGCTTATAATCACGAGCCATAGGGGCTTTAAGCGACAATATTCATTTGATTACTGGCCTCCGGATAACAGTACCTAACTAACTAACGTCTGGACCAAGATTAAAAAAGTTAACATTAATGTTTCTCTAAAATTTTAATAAAAAATACTTGAAGTTTCTTTGACTAAATTTGTATTTCCCTATTGTTGTTTTCAAAAAGTATTCAATATTTCTACAATGAAATTGTTAATAAAAAGTAAAACGCATAACACGTTAATAAAATTCCAGGTATCTGAACAGCATCGGTCCAGTGAACAATATGCCGATCGGCGAGGCGATGGTTGCTTACAGGGAGAAGTCGGGCGACGAGGACGCCAGCCAGACATTCGTGCCATTCATTGCGGTAATTTATTTTTAAACATTCAATCGTAGCAATCGGTGACAAGGTCGTAGGGTCGTAGTGCTCCGGAGGGTGAGACACCCGCTTCTCATGCATAAGGGTGCGGTTTTGAAACCTGGCAAGTACCCCGAGTTATATGTAGGCACTCTCTATAATTATTTAGACACCACTGACATACGGAGAAGACAGATGTTGAGATGGATGTGTGGTGTGACGAGAATGGATGAAGTGAGAAATGAGTATATTAGAGGAAGTTTGAAAGTGGCGCCAGTGACTGAAAAGTTGAAAGGGAACCGTTTGTATTGGTATGGCCATGTGAAAAGGAGGGATGAAACGCATGTTACAAAAAAAAGGGAGACCAAAGAAAATATGAATGGATTCTGTGAGAAGTGATATGTAAGACAGAGGAGTTAGTGATAGCGTGACAGGACAGAATGGAAGAAAAAAACATATTGCGCCGACCCCAAATAAAATTGGACAAGGGCAGGAAGATGATGATGACATACGGTGAAAGAAAACATCGTGAGGAAACCTGGACTTATAAGTTAGAAATCGCCTATCCGCCTTGAGCAAGCGTGGTGATTAATGCTCAAACCCTCTCGAAGTACAGCCGTTAGACGCCATTGACTAAATTTGAGATCACCAATCCGGTTTAAGCAAGTGTATTGATAATTGATCATTAGTTATCCGTCTAAGAAAAGGCATTTTTTCTGCAATTAATATGTAGTTATAGGCTGATGATGATGATGATGATGATTACAAATTTAGATGTGAATCTTAAAGCTTAAATATTTTCTCATCACAGGAAGTCCGAGTAGGTTGCAGTGAGGGTGGAGTATCCTCCCTGGAGTTGGAAGAAGGTGGGTCGCCCCCCGCCCGCGCGTCGCCCCCCGCGACCCCCGCCCCCCACCCGCACCTCGCCCCCCACATGACGGAGCTCACGACCACACCGCTGCCGCTTCCCCTACTGGCTAGGACTGAGCCGCTGGAGCTGCAATTGGATTATTGGCTGGTATGATTTTTTTTATTCAATTTAAACTATTTGAGGCTAAGCTACTGGCTGGGCAACTGTTTACTAGCAACTAGCAACAACTTTAAGGCTGGACAACTGGCTGCCGCGCAACGTGTCGCGGGTTCGATTCCCACACGGAACACTCTGGGTGTGATGTGTATGTGAATTTGTATGTTTGTAAACTCAGCCACAACACAGGAGAAAATGCTAGTGGGTCAACGGTTCAATAAAAAAAAATAAAAAAGTATATTCTCCCTCCCTATATATTAAAAACAAATATATAACAAAGTAGGTTGAACCTATGGGTTCACTCGTGACGAATCCATTCGTTTATTTGTAATAAAAAGTATCCTATTATAATTCTGGTAAATCCGAAAATATGGGTAAAAAGTTTCATGTTGTAAATTAAAGTAGTTTCTGCGTGAAAACGTGACAATGTGGGGTACTGTCTGTCGGCTGCGCATTGTCGTCGAGACGCGTACGCTGCTCATAAATAAGAGTCCCGTTGTGCCCTGAAACTGGTAGAGCTTTATTTAGTTGCTTCATATGAGTAAGTCGTAATATTCAATAAACTTAGTGACTATTCAAAAAAACATTCCCTCATATATACTTATTTATAACTAGCTAATCTCGCGCGATTTCACCCGCTGTTCGGCTCCATTTAGTCGTAGCGTGATGTTTTATAGCCTATAGCACCCAGGAACATTGTAGCTACCTATCAGTGAAAGAATTTTGGAAATCCGACCAGCGGTTCCAAAGATTAATTACTCCCTAAATACAAACTTACAAATTTTACCTCTTTATAATATTAGTATAGATTTTAGTAAGTATAGTAATGAGTAATAATGTCTCGTCCAGGTGCCAGGCCGGCAGACGGACGGCCCGGACAGTAAGGTGACGGTGAAGGCGTCGTTCCGCGCCCTGCACGTGACGCGACAGAACGCGCATCTCAGCATCACGTACCTCACCAAGGAGAAAAAGCAAAAGAGTTAGTATTATTTAATTAAACTTGTTTATATATTTATAATATTTTTTTTAGAAGTCTTCTGCTTTCGATTTACACGTCTTTACTCTAGATAAGTCCCGGGACCAAATACTGTTAATAGACATAGATATACATATCCCGGGATTTAAAAAACTTATGTTAGTTACTGTAACATCCCTACAATGTTTAGATAATTGCTGATGATAGTTGCTTACTCAGCAACCCCATATAATTGCTGAAAAGAGTTGCTTATTCAGCAACCCTGATTGAGCTCTTGTACAACGGCCAGCTAGCCAGTCTGTTCGGGTCAGACCACCATCCAATGCAGATGTTTACCGATATTTAGATAAGTCAATATCCCTGTGTAGTCCGGAGACTCGGGAAGGGTATTAAATATTTTTTTTAAACCCTTCCCCAGTCTCCGTTTTAAAAGTACGTACCGTTGATAGATTTCGCTGAAAGAATTAGAAGTTGGATTCAGATAATATACAATTTATGTCAAAGTCTCTTCTCAATTCCGCTGAAAATAATGATTGCCAAAAACAGACCTAAAAATATTTCAAAGAAATCTTTAATGTGGCAAAATCCGTTTATTATAACAAATTAGTTCCTATATTCAAATTATAATCTAAACAATTGTTCTTCACATTAATTCCAGTAATGCGGCTGGGCAAGAAGAAGGAGAAGACAGGCGAGGCTGAAGTAGGACGCGCGCAGACCGTGGACGGAGTCGCGCGACTCATATGCTCCGCTAAGAGCTCGCATAACGTGCCGCTCAAAGGTAAACCTTATTTTAATGTACTTAAGATTTCATTTCAAAATGCTGGATGTCGGTATTTATGAAAAAATGTTTTAATAAAGATGGCAAATAAGAAAAGTAGCCACTCTCGTGCAGTCACACCCGTAGCTCGGCCCCTTAAGATCGAATCGTGATTATTTATAGTCTATAGGCTTCCTCAATAAATGGACTTATAAAAATAAAATAATGGTTCAATTCGAACCAGTAGTTCCGGAGATTTTCACGTTCAAACATCTATAAAAGATAAATCTCATCACAGGATATCAAACGTTAAATTCAAATTTGATTGAAGTGGCCGTGCAACGTGCCTCGGTTCATCCCGCACGGAATTTGTGTGATCTACAAATTGTTTTCCCGGATCTTGGTGTAGTGTACGACAAAGGACGAAATGTTAGTTTGTGTTATAATCGTTATTTATGTTTGTCCTCAGTATACATAGACGGCACGGAGCTGAACGGCGTGAAGTTCTTCCAGCTATCTACACAATGGCAGACCCACGTGAAAACGTTCCCCGTCGCCACGTGCGGCGCCCCGCTGGCCCCGCCGGAGTCATAGGACGCTCAAGGCCTACTCCCCGCTTCTATTCTACAGGCCCCCCGGGCCCCGGGTCTCTGGGCCCCGCAGGCCCCATTAGCGCGCTCGCCCATCTCCGGCCCCGCTCGGAAACACGAAGCGAAGCTACGAATGAGGCTCTAAACTTAGTCCTACGTACCGACAAATGTATCGTATAACGTTTATTTATTAAGCTGTCAAGCTGCCATGTTATAGCGTAGGAGACGCCTTCTGTTATGTATCTTGAGTTCGTCCGCGTTATACCAAGTTGTCGATGTATTCCTGTAGCAAGTAGCCCGCCATATACTCGCACGCCGCGCGCCTCGGCGTGCCATTCAAGCTACATAATAAAGGCTCAAACGTTACTGTATCGTCATAGTCATTCAATCATTAGTTATCGTATTTAATATATTATTATTATTAATGTAGTTGTTATCTGTGTACTCAGTATATATCGAGAAATAATGGTTCGTGACATTTCCAATATGTGTATGTAATATAGGTTAGTGTGTGTGCGTGTGTGTGAGCTTCGCATGACTGTGTGTGAACTTTCAACGAATATAAGCTTACGTGTAGCCAAAATTTCGCCGAATTCCGATATTTGTGTGTCGGGTGTCGGGTGTCGGGTGTTTGTAAGAGGAGCTCGTGTCGGCAGTGCACGGTGCGAGCCAGTGATAGCGTAGTATTACTGGAGCGAGTATCGTCGGCACATATCAGCGTAGGTTCGGTTCCAGTGTTGTGCGCGATTTTATTTTTGATCTGTGATTCGTGAATGCAGTTTTTTTTAATATCGTAAGGCGTTGTTGCAAGTCATATTTTCGAGTAATTTTTTACACGAGCGCAGCTAACAATGCGTTGTCAACATTTATAATTTTTTACGGCATAAAATGAAATGTAGATTTTTACGTAAACTTGATTAATTTTTAAATTATTGTAGAGGTGACATGTTGGATCTTCCTAATCGCTTGTACTTGCATAGATTGAACGATGTCTTCGATTCACTTACTTTGTGAGCGAGCCAAAATGTTTTAGTATTTTTAACCTGAAAATTTTGAAATTAACTCCGAGCCAATTTGGAACATTTCTATTTGGGCTAGTTTAATTTTGTAGCGGTAACAGTAGAGGGCGTTAGATACCCCGCAGGCCAACGACTGTCTCATGATATCATAGAGTTAGTTAATAATTCTCAAACTTTACATATACTACGTGTAATACTTAGATATAGCTGTGTGTTACTCTGATAATATGTGGCTGTGTAAGTATAATAATTGCGAACAGTTTCGACGGCATCTTACAATCGAATATCAACTTTAAATCTACGAATATAAGTTCCAATGTGGGATTTCGCTGAAATTGATATCGTATAAGGCTTCGTGTCTCGTTTATTCTTTATTCATAAACATTTTATCGATGTTAGAAATGTTGGTAGAGCCTAAATAAAAACTTTTTCGACGTTATTTGACTAAGGCGTTTGGATAGCGAGACCGTTGCTATCAGTAACATAGGACTTCCAAATATTATGATCTTAGATCCACATACATATTAAAAATATATCGTTTTAATATATCGACATATCGGTACTATGCTATAAAAGTAAATTAATATATCTATGACATATTATCGTGGTTAAAAATGTAGTTGTTTAATGATATATAATATTATTCGCTTCAAATAATAAAAGAGTATATTCGTGGTAATGTTAAATAGAATATAATTTTGATTTTGATTATTAATTTAATGTAGCAAAGAAATTTAATGAATAATGTGCTTTTAAAATGAATGTCTAGGAAGAAATGCCAAAATAAATTTAACTCGTATATCTAAGGGAAACCGATCATGCGCGTGCGCATGTTTGATTATAATGGAATTATTAGCAACTACGGTTATTGAATACAAAAATTAGTTGCCCATTTAATATTAATTATGAGGGAAAATGCAATGATTAATCTGAGTCGAGCTTCGATAATCTGATTTT